ATTATCCATTATTTATGAAATATAAGCATAAGGTATGTATCCCTATCGGAAACTATCTTTGTGGTTCATGTTTATATTTCTTATATTGTTAATTGATATATGTACTTGTGTTATAATTGATATATTTAATTTATTGATTAATGTTATCCAAGTGGGAGAATGTTATATTTATATATTTATTTATATAATTATTCTCTATTTTATTATTATTATTATGGATTAACATTAATTAATAAATTATATTTATATGTTAATATCAATTATATTGCACATTATTATTAATTTATGGGTAATGCATATTGGGCTTCTGATGAATGGTTCATGATGGGTTGGACTATTTAGTAGCCCGTTGAGAGGTCCCTGGTCTCTACTGGTAAGGATATAAAACTGATACCCCATTAGTCAGTTTATATGATGAAATACATTTTGTCTTTTACCTTTTCATCTCCTACCTGGAAGAGAGCAGTCTTCTCTCACGTTGTTCATTGTTTCTTCCACAAACAAAGCAGAAGGACTCATTTCCTTAAATTTTACTCTTTGGGTTGTAGTTGTTATTAAAAGCTTTGTTTTTATTTTTAGAGAAATGAGAGCTTTAACCAAATTTATTATTATTGGAAAAACCATATTTTTTGAAAAATTTTTGTTAAGGCTTATTAGCGTTTTCCACTAAGTGAGCCTTAGCCTGAAAAGGGGTTTTATTAGAATCTTTTTTGTGAAATACGATGTTTATCTTCAATTCGCAAGGTAACCAATAAATAAGATAAAGTAAAACGATCGGGTTTATGTTTAAGGCTTCTTACAAATTCAGACCAAGAAGGAGGCAATTTAGAAATTAACAAACTAACAAGCATTATGTCAGGCAAAGTAATTTCTTTCATTTTCATATCATAAATAATATTTTCAAACTCATGAACTTGGTCAGAGAAAGGTTTTACATCTTCCATTTATAAATAAATCATTCTTTCACAAGAGTATTTTCTTAAATACTTTTCAGCAGAACCATACTTTAGTTTAAGAGTTTCCCATATCTCTAAAGCAGTTTTTGTATGACAAAATATTTACTAGAAGAATCAACTTCAACCAAGGCACAATCAGTACAATTTTTAGATTTTCTATTTAAAATAAAAGAAAATAAACTCAACTCTGTAAGCCAAAATTACATTTGTTGTTGCCAACATAAAAAATTTTCACCGTTAAATTTTTCTGGATTACTACTCAAAGAATTTAAAATGTCCATTGCATACATGTTGATATTGAACAAGAAAAGGATTTTTCTCTCTAAGATTGTTGGAAAAATAATTTTAATAGAACACAAGAAAAATAAATATTTAGATTTATCAATAAAATAAATATCAACAACAAAATAAATATTATAAAATTAAAACAGAGCAATCAGTAACAACTAGTTAAACACAAAGAGTAAATAAAATTATTAGATAAGAAGTTTAGAGTAGCCATGGTTGAAGCACGCAGAGCGTTATCCTTAGAAAGAAAACGTCCCCACTGCACTGATAACTTTGAGTCTTATAGTGCGTTCCTCTCCTAAGATACGTCAACTCATTAGACCGATCAAGTGCAACGAAAGATCTCCAAACCAAAAAACACCACTCCAAAGTTATAATTTTGTAGTAGAAATAATATCGAGAGAAAGGTAAAATAAACTTTCTGTATATATAAATGTGTTTTTCTCATGTACAGGCACCATATTAGACAGTTATAAGCATGTCAAATCACGTGCAGCGTGATTCTTAATTTTTTGTAACAAGAACCAACGGATAAGATAAATGTATCGTGGGTATTAATCACTTTTGTAAAAGGCAAGATATGTTCTCATCCAGGAAATCCAAAACGGTTTTGCAAGTTGAATGTTAAAAAATTACGAAAACCAACATTGATCAAAAACGTAATTAATTTAAATTTTAAATTATAATATAATTTCTCAACATTGCCGTCGTCGGTTTCGACGGCGTCGGTGACGAGGCGGCCGGAGACGTGGATTTGGTGGCCCTTGTGGAGATGGTGGGAAGCAACGTGCGCGAGGTCGTCCCAGAAAGTGAGGCTTATGGAGGACGCTTGCGTGGCGTTCTTCTTGACGGAGAGGCGGGTCCACGCCACCACCTTGCCGGAGGGGAGGTGTTTGAGTTCGAGGGGCGCGGCCACCACGCCGATGAGGCTGACGGAGTTGCAGAGCTCCTTCTTCCACGGAATCTCCGAGGGTTTGGGGTATGCCGTTGTCATCGAGCACTTCAATTTGACGTTCCCTTTAAAGCGCTGCGTTTTGCAGAAGAGGGAAGGGATTTGGAATTGGGGTTTTGTAATTGGGGTTTTGCGGAAGGTGGGGAGGTTCCTGAAGGTGCTTGAGGATGACACTGCCACTGCCTGCTCCAACGCCATGTCTCACTCTCACTCTGCTTTCTTTCCTCAAGATAAGGGAAATCTAAATTTCTAATCGGTTTCATACAAAAGGGCTTCGGCTTCGGCCCATTTCATTAGAACCTCTCTCCCAGCCCAGGTGCCCAGTTTTGTACCAACTATAGTGGGTTAAACATGATGTTTATTCATTCAAATAATTTATTTTATATATATTATTTTTAAATTTACTTAAATTAAAAATAATAAAATGTTTAGGAAACTGGCTAGTTACACTTCATTCTATGTTTAATATATTTATTTGAAATTTTACAATATTACCTCTTTATAAAAAATTTTTATTTTATGGTCGTTTAAAAAATGGATTAATTTGAAGAAAAAAAATTAAAGTAATCCTATACATTATTTAAAGTTAAATTGACTCAAATCTAAAATTAGAATTTCATACAATACTGCAAAACTCCGATATTTAGAGAAAATTATTTCTTATAAACTGTAAATTGTTTCCTCAAGTTGTTTTGGTGAACTTATTATAATAATTTTTAATTTTTTACAATAATTTAATATTATATTTTAAATAAGAAATGTATATTTAATGAAATTCATGATTTTAATTAAGACTCGACTTTATTTTAGTAACACAACACTGATAAGTTAAACAAAGAAGACATTGAATTATTATATTTCTGGCTGCCACCATGTGACTGTTGTGGCACTATTTTAACCCTTATTGGTTTGAACTTCTTCATTCTCACCAGAAATATCCTCCAAAGATCTACCCTTCCCCTCAGGCACCAAGAAAGTAAAGAGGAAGCCTAAAATGTTGACAACACCTAACACAATCAGTGAATTCTTCACACCGATACCTGCAGGGTACCCTGCATCTGTTTTGCTCTTGTCCTGGTTCTGTGCCAAATACAAAAATCCAAATGCCCCAACCATAGCACCAAGCTTCCCGGATGCTGAAGATATTCCATGGCAAGTAGATCTAAATCTAGCTGGGAAAATCTCTGCTGGCACAACAAATGTGGTAGCATTAGGCCCAAAGTTTGCAAAGAAGAAGGTGAGAGACTCAGAGAGAGTACAAAACCACAAAACCTATTCGGTTCTCCTTAAGAGTCCAATAATCATAGGGGATGGCAAGAGCAAACATAAAGACAGTCATAAAGAAGAACCCCATCAATTGAATGGTAAACGTGGCAAAAACACAATGGTATCATTTCACTGCAATCATCGTTGCTGGAATGGGCTTCTTCACTGATGCCTATGACCTGTTCTGCATATCACTTGTGACAAAGCTTCTAGGGCGCATATACTACCACGTTGATGGGGCAGAAAAGCCTGGTTCATTGCCTCCCAATGTGTCAGCTGCTGTTAACGGTGTAGCTTTTGTTGGAACATTTTCTGGCCAACTCTTCTTTGGTTGGCTCGGTGACAAAATGGGACGAAAAAAGGTCTATGGCATGACACTCATGCTCATGGTGTTAGCTTCTGCCATCAGAATTATCCTCCAAACATAGTCTGCTTGTGGAACAGTTGACCCCAATGGATCAACCTCATAGGGTGGAGCACTAAACTTGGTCTTGAACACAAATGCTATTACAATTGCAAACACACCTCCTGCCAAAATTCCAAACCCTTGCATGGCAAACACTGCTGCTATAAAGGCACCACGTGTCTTCTTATTAGCATACTTAGACATTATGGTTGCTGAAAGTGGATAGTCTCCACCAATACCAAAGCCAAGCCAGAAGCGAAAGAAGCAAAGAGTTGTCATCACAGCCTTTGGATCATGTCACAGTGAAAGACCTGAAGCAATGGAAGCTAACACCATGAGCATGAGTGTCATGCAATAGACCTTTTTGGAGGTGTGTTTGCAATTGTAATAGCATTTGTGTTCAAGACCAAGTTTAGTGCTCCACCCTATGAAGTTGATCCATTGGGGTCAACTGTTCCACAAGTAGACTATGTTTGGAGGATAATTCTGATGGCAGAAGCAAAGAGTTGTCATCACAGTCTTTGGATCATGACCGAATGAAAGACCTGAAGAAATGGAAGCTAACACCATGAGCATGAGTGTCATGCCATAGACCTTTTTTTGTCCCATTTTGTCACCGAGCCAACCAAAGAAGAGTTGGCCAGAAAATGTTCCAACAAAAGCTACACCGTTAACAGCAGCTGACACATTGGGAGGCAATGAACCAGGCTTTTCTGCCCCATCAACGTGGTAGTATATGCGCCCTAGAAGCTTTGTCACAAGTGATATGCAGAACAGGTCATAGGCATCAGTGAAGAAGCCCATTCCAGCAACGATGATTGCAGTGAAATGATACCATTGTGTTTTTGCCACGTCGAGTGCATTTAGCACCTGAACTTGCTCCTTCCCCATTACTACCAAACTTTCCTTTTCTGACTCTCTCTCTATCAATCCCAATTGTTTAGTACTCTGCAAAAGTAGATGCAACTGAGTACAACATACTATCATGTTAAGCACGCCTTGCTCGATGACTATGAACTTGCAGGGTAATTATTATTTAGTGATCACCGTATGATCACTATGAACCAATCAATAATGAATATACTCATGTCACCATTAAAACTAACTCAATCAAGCAGTCATATAATCAATTATGTACAGATAGAATTACAATTATAGTTGCACAAGCACAACATTAATTAAAAAGGGTAAGCATGTTGAATAACACACGCACAAGTTGCAAACATAAGAACAACACTTGTATTACCCTATATTGGAAAACTGGAAGACCCTTCCAACTTTGAGTGACTACAGGTACAGAATATGGTAGTTATATAAATATGAAGCCATGCTAATGATATAACAGAAAAATCTAAGATATTTCTAAATTGTTGTGAGAATCTATAATAAAAGGAATTAGCAAATTCACAGTTCACATTTCACTGTAAAGGATGAACGAAATTGAATAAGTAAAAAATATAGAAATTGTTTTTAGAAAAATCTGTACAGAATTAACTTGAAAAGAAAATCTAAACTTACTTGAAAAACAATAATTATTTTGGGGAAAAAATTGAACCGGTATTTAAGATATACCTAACTATATCCCAAATGTTTCTAAGAGAAATTATTTTAATATGTATTCTATATGTTTAACAAAATAAAATATTATACTAAATGAAGGTTGAATCTAATAGGATATCTGTTGTGCTTCAGATCGAGGTTCCAGAAGAAAAATGATAATCACATGACGAGAAAATACAAATAGTAATGATAACACGACCTGATCCCCAAAAGATGAAGACACACATAAATGCACACAAATTTACTGATTATATAAATATTTATACTTTGGATTTTCAACTTATCATGCACAATTCATGCTAATATGTGCATATCAATTCAGATTTCATCAAGCTGAGTCATGTATGGTGTAACTAAACAATGGCACAAATATTAGATTAGGATCCAAAAAAAATAACATTATTAGTAGATGTAGATAATAAAGTTATATATAGTGACACAATGCATGCATGGGATAAGAATGATTGAGTGCATAACAAAGGTAGATTATTATGAATGTTCACTTGAAAATAAGAGAGAAGTTGGGATAAATTTGGATAGAGAAAACAAAAGAAAAGAATTAGCTACACACAAAAAAAGGTGAATGGAGTCACAAATGATTTATAGGCAACACAACAGAATATATCAACCTTACAAAGTGGCCACAAATGTTGGATAATGTAGAAAATGCTCTCATAGAATAGTTGAGCAAACAATCTCATAAACATGCACCTAGTCGTGCAGAGACAAAACATGTGGAACAAAGCTCCTCATATACGAAAATGAAAAAGTTGTTTTGTTACCCTTAATTTATAAAAAGAAACATGCGTGTCGCACAAGTCAGCAAAGAGACAATGGTAAGGTTAAGTAAGGACTAAGGCTTTGTTCATGAAAGAGAATATGTAACATGCTAGAACTATAGTCTGCATAGCCAAATATGTGAGTTATGCATGTGAAATAATGAGCCTAGCTAGCTGGTATACAACAGAACTCCATTAATTTCTCGTAGCAGTGCCTATATTCTGTGTTGTGTTTTTGCAAATTAAAGTCGACCCTGGATGGCTAGCTAGTACCAAACCAGTCGCATGTGCAGTGCTGACACAAATAGTATCTAAAACATTCACAAAAACCACACCATGGAATTCTAAGGAACATGGTTATATCTGTTTAGATTTGGTTGATGGTATAATGAATAGAGGGGAAACTTTATCGCTGTGTCTACACTTTTGGTAACGATGGAACCGAATTTGAACTTTGTCATGGAGCTCAACGAAAGCGCAATATCAGATATCATTCAGAATAAGTAAAGGAACCAAACTTTTTAACCTTGGAAAAGCTAGTTAGTTCTATATAAGTAGATGGTGACAATTTTTTTTCTTTCTTTTTGATCTTCCCTGGAAGATACGCAAGGTCTTACGATCCCTCCGCGCTGGGTTCTGACTGTGGTTTGTAACAATAATTCATCTGATGATGATGTCCTGGTAAAACGTCATTTTTTGCACTAGTCTTTATAATTTCAACCTAATTAAGATTAAAAAAAACGATCAATTGATGGGAAAACTACCTAAATTAACTAATATTTACGTATCAATCTTGTTTATTGCCTAACTGAAACTCAATCAATCCATTGCCCTAAATTTTAAGAATAAATAATGTGGTATAATAGGTACCTATCGAAAAAAATCAATGTGGTATAATGATAACTATATATAGTACGTATTTTACATATGATATATTTTTGGATAAATATTCTTTATTCCTATATGTCTAAATATTCTGAAGTTTGAGCTAAAATGGAAAATATTATAATTACAGTTAAACTTGCGATGATTATTACATTTAAAATTATAGCTAAATTAAGTTAACAAGATTTAGCATTTTTTAATAACTTTAACTCGAACTTTAGGATATAGCTATACATATAGTTATAAAATAAGGGATCAAATTGAAAGAAAAAGAAAAATGAAAGTATGAGATCGTAAAGTGTAATTCATCTTTGTTACTATATATCACAGTGATAATTGTGTTTAGCAACTATCATTTAGAATTTTTAATGACAACTTAAAAACTCAGTAAATTGTTGAAGATTTTATTCGAGAACGTTTGAATTTACAATACGTGTTGTAAGTTCACGTGATGAAATGGTAAATTAAAAAGTTAG